AATTTACCTTTAAACTTAAATATTATCAAATTAATATTTCATTCTTAAAAATTCCAAAAGCATAATCCGGATTGCCATCTTTTACGACAAATACTTTTTCTAGACAAACTAGTATAGAAACATTAATATTTTAGGGAATCAGATAAAATTTTGAACAAGCAATTTTCAATAATGATGCTGCAAGTTAAAATATTGTTGCATAGTTCAGTGTGGTGCGATGGAGATGGTGGCAAACCGTGATGTTAAACATTTTTGGAGGAATATTTCAATTGAAATAATAATTACTCAATTTCTTGTTTTCAAATGGAATTTATGTCCAAACACAACTTTAATTTTCAATTACATTTTTTTAACTTCAAGTAATTTATTTTTCAACTTTGTCAAGTATTTGTCCAAATGCCAACAATAAATTATCTTATCTTTTTATGTTATGTAATTAAAAAATAAAGTTAGTAACACAAATAGCCATAAAATTAAATAAGAATATCAATGTAGTAATATGACCAAACAACGTATATATAAATTATAATTACAATGCTAATATATATTCTATCTATATAAAAGGAGAAGCAAAAAATGTAGCGGTGCCAAGTGGCATAATCACATTTCAACAAGTGTCATTTTTGGGACAAATCTCCAATTTCAAAATTATTTGAAACTAGAAATAGGCAAAAAAAAAAATGGCTCCAAAAACGGTTCATTTTTTACTGCACTCCCAAAATTGCTCTTGAAAACCAAAATAATTGCTTGAATAAAAAGAGCCCCCTCTCTCCCTCATAGAGAGATTGAAACCGCTGAAAGCCTAAAACCAAAGATCACACTTTGCAATGAACCATGGATTTGAAGATTTGGGATCAAAGGAACATGGATCTGTGCCGATTTTAGGGATAGTGGAGCTATTATTCAAATTTTGTTTGCATTGCACACGCAAGTATACGTGGTCGACAAGTAGTATAATAATAAGTTGAATGTCAAACCCACAAAGACTTTTATAAACTACTCACTAAATCATTAAAATTATTATTCAATCCAGCTAAAATCAAAATCCAATAATATGATTATATTATACTAGGATTATAAATAATAACTAAATTTACAAGTAACGAGTTGATTGTTGTGTATTCAGTATAGACAAGTATTCCAGGGTTGTGATCGATCCACCAATCCTATTGTATTCTAGTTAACTCTCCCTCTCATACAATTCACTCATGGTTGCTAATTAATCGATAATTGTTGTCATAGTCTTCTCCCGAAGTACTACTCGCCTATTCAAAATAGATCAACGTCTATATTCCGATGGAATCAATCTATTAGAATGCATTAAGAATACGATATCTAATTAAGCACAGTGACTAGGTATATTCCTATCCTAACCACAAATCCGCTCCCCTTAAGGGTTAAGATCGCGCTCTCTTCAATTCTTCTCTAATCTATACACGGATTTTCCAAGCATAGCATAGATAGTAAATAGAACTTAACTGTTGGCCAGACAATTAAGCAATTAAACACAGAATTGAAGAAACAACTATATATTGGTGAATTATAATCAAGGTCAAGCTAATGTCAAATAACAATATTTATGGCTAAATCACAACCCCAGAATAATGGGTGTTTAGCCACTCATGATGTAATCAAACAATTGCATAAGTGTTGAATCAATTGGAAATACTAGAAAAGGATGAAGAAAATTGAGAATTATCTGCTTCCTAACGATCCCGTGTGTGTTTTTCCTCCAAAGTGGTGTCCACCCCCTCAAAAATAGGTTTAGTCTTGCTTTTATACGTGTTGGGTAGGTCTAGGGCCGAATAAACCGTGTTCCGGGCAAAATAGGACAAAATCATGTCACCGGCTGGCGCTACCTCAAACCCATTCTGCCTCCAGCGCCACAGGTGGTGTCAAGCGCTGCCTGTGGCACCCAAATGCTCAATTCGTCCGGTTTTGTTCGTTTTGGCTCAAATCTTGAGCGTTTCTCCCTCAATTGCTCCTGAATCATTCCTACACATAAAAAAACTTCAAATTAATATAAATCATAGCATTTAACATCCCAACTTCATGAAACAAAAGTAAAATATGAGGCGATATACATAGAAATATATATATGCTTTAAGCTAAACATCAACAACCCACACTTAGACTCTTGTTCATCCTCGAGCAATGGGACTATCCAATAAACCCCCAACTACGTACAAGTCTCAATTATAGAGGAGCACCTTAACTTTTAACCACACACTATACCCTTGACTATGATCAATACCGGCACACAAGCATGAACACACAAAATTTCACATTCTTCCCATTTAAGCATGCCTAAGTATAACCCTTCAATTCACTCAATTCCAACAACCTATTTGTCACCAACCTCAAAAGTCGACTTGCAACCACTAAGCACCCTCAACTCATACACTTACCCAACAAGAAAGTTTACAACATCACTAATCATTCATGAGATCATGCGCCCTTATCAACAAACAAAAGAGTGAATATAGATAGTCCACACATTCAAATATACTTTTGAATATAGATTAAGGACATCGCACAATTGAACAAAATTCGCTCACTCTCACAAAAAGCTCATATGTATCTCGTGGTCGTTCCATAAGTTTGTCCGTAGTGTATATCTCTACTAATTTAAGCTAGCCAAATTTAGGATCAATTAGGACTTTAAGGTTGTAATGTAGGCTAAGGGACGGGTATGATATATTTAGAAATAGTGACTAACCATCCTAAGTACTTTAATACACTACATTCACAATTCAAGCACATATTCTTCTCAACCAATTCACTTGCCACAACCCATATGCAGCATAGCCCTCTTTTCAATTAAGCACTTCTATAATTTCACTAGCACAAATCATTAAGAATTGGAGGTGTGTATTTTTTTCTACATACTTTCACTATCATTTTTTTTTCCTTGCAATTTTTCTTTCTCTTTTTTTCTTCACACACTCCATACATTAAGGTTCATTGGCTAGTGACTTTTGATTTCAAATTTAGTGCACCAACGGGCCCTTCCATGGTTCCACTCAAAAGCTACTCCCCAATCTCTAACCTTACTTCTTTTAGCGACTAAGTGCCTTAGAAGGTAAAGGTTCAATCAATATCAAATTAAGAACAAAATAGGGGTATGACTTGTAATGTGAGTGCCAAAAGAAAGGTCTATAAGCTCAAAGGGCTAACAATGGAAAATTTTTATTTTCTTATGTGACAAGCACATCTATGATCAAGCAAAAAAATGCCTACGTCATCTCCTAGATTAGCACAACTTACAATTTTGCTTCAATTAACACACGGGCCAAGTTCTAGACTACACAGGATAGCATAGAAGATCACAAATCCTCACACACACGTTGCACATGACTCAATCAAGACGGTTTCGTTCAACTCTCAATTCAAGCAAGCACACATAATTGAGAAAATTAAGAAGATCACAAATCAAGACGCACTTCATTCAACTCTCAATTCAAGCAAGCACACATAATTGAGAAAATTAAGAAATATTACACTATGTGGCATACAAGTCAACCAACTGAAAAAAGGCGTTACAAAATAGGCTATTTACTTTACTTAGGCTTCACATATCAAACCAAATACAAGGGAAAATAGAATGTAGATCATAGCATAATGTGACAGCACCAAACATGTCAATAGATATCTCAAAGACATTCAGTTTCTTCCTAACTATTCCTAAAAAAAATTTAAAGTACCCGGTTCGAGTTACACCCTTGGAAAAGAACCGGTGCCCAAAGAAAAACCAAGGGATACTACCTAACTATCCTAAAAAAATCTTTTTGGTGTTTCTTAATTGGACTTTATCCCTCAAGAAAATTGTCCAAAAGATCATCGTCGGGAAAAGTCCGAGATTTTTCAAAAAAAAAATTCCAATTTTCATTTTTTTCTCTTTTTTTAACCGAGAATATGTCTACTACGAGTTCTAAAAGCAAAACTTAATAATATAAAAAAAAACAATTTTATAAAATTACACTTTAGAAAGTAGTTTTCCCACCCCACACTTATATTATTCATAGTCCTCGATGTATGATCACAGAGAAACATATTAAACAAGGGTGAGAAATATTCCCTAAGACCCTCTCGGGCCTAGATCGGACATGATCCTCAATCTTAAGGTTCGGGACGACCCCACACTTAAGCTCAACATGCTCCTCAGCTTTAACTCCAGGTACTCAAACTTCCCCTACTCTGCAAAATAAAAACAACACAAAACTTGACACTAAAAAAATAATCAATAAATAAAAGATATACATGTTGGGTTGCCTCCCAACTAGCGCCTTATTTATAGTCGTGGCACGACTCTGCTACTCTGCTCAGGCTGGGCGCTTTCTCTTCTTCTTTCTCCCATGAAGTCTAGCCTTTTTGCACGCTCTCGGAAGGTATCCTCTTTCATCTCTAGTTCTTTTCTCAATAATCTTTACACGCTCAGCTGGAAACACCACCTCCTCTAACTCAGTTGTCCCATCTGGATCACTATAATTCACATACTGACTCTGTTCTATTCCCTTCAATTCGACCATAGTAATCATACACAAGTCCTCATAATGCTTAGGGAGCTTAAGTGTCTTGTACAAATTAAAAGTGACCTCCTCATCGTTAACTCTCATTTTTAACTTCCCTGCCCTCACATCAATAATTGCTCCACCAGTAGCTAAGAATGGTTGCCCCAAAATAATGGGCACTTCCTCATCTGCCGCGTAATCAAGAACAATAAAATTAGTAGGAAGAATAAACTTTCCAACTTGAACTAACACATCCTCAATAATTCCTTCTGGCATGACTAGTGACCTATCTGCTAACTGTAAAGTGATTGTAGTAGGTCTAAGCACCCCCAATCCGAGTTGCTTAAACAAAGAGGATGGCATCAAATTTATACTAGCCCCTAAATCACACAGGGTTGTACTAACTTCTTGTTTTCCAAGAGACAAAGGAATTGTAAAACTCTCAGGATCCTTCAACTTAGGAGGAAGTTTACTCTGAACTCTGGCACTTCACTCTTCAGTAAGTGCAACTGCTTCGAACTCTACATGTCTTCGTTTGTTTGCCACAATATCTCTGAGATACCTTGTATACTTAGGCACTTCATGCAAAATTTCCACTAAAGGCAAATTCACACTCACTTGGCTCAAAATATCTAGGAATTTCTTGTACATAGCATAATCTTTTTGCTTTTGCAGTCTTTGTGGAAACGGAGGTGGTGGCCTAGTCTCAATTACTGGCTCGGGTCCTTTATTATCTTTCTTATTCCCCTCAACTGGTTTGGGAACTAATTCTCCTTCAGGATGAGCTGTATTCTTCTTTTTCTTTGGAACTTCTTCTAATGCTCTTCCATTTCTCAAGGTAACTGCATTGACTTGAGATTTAGGATTGGGCTCAGTATCACTAGGAAGAGCCCCTACTGGTCTAGTATTTTGGGCTCTGGCAAGTTGGCCCACATGGTGTTCTAAATTTCTCAATGATGCGGCTTGAGCCTACTGATCAACCATTATTTTCTGATTGAAAGTTTGTTAATCTGCTATTAATTTTTGATTGAAAGTTTGCTGATCTGCTATTAATTTCTGATTGAGGGCTTACTGGTCGGCCATCAATTTCTTCATCATCTCCTCAAGGCTAGCTTGTTGTTCAGCCTGAGGTGATCTGCATTGTTGTTGAGGTGCTTGAGGCCGGTATTGATTCCGATTGCCTTGATTTCCACCCCAGGAGAAGTTTGGGTGATTCCTCCAGTTGGGATTGTAAGTGTCCCCATACTAATTTGTTTGGCCTTGATTTGCATTACTCACAAAATATACAGACTCTGGATTTGCTGGCCATAGATTGCTCATGTGACCCTCTCCACATACTTCATAAAATATTTGAACTTGTTGCACTGGCTGGGCTTGTTGCTTGTTAATGATCATTGTCATCTGATTGACTTGGTTGGTCAGTGTAGAGACCTGTGCTGACAATGATGAGACAACATCTAATTCAAGAACCCCTGGTGATATTTGTACCAGGTTCCTACCCATCTCTCTTTGCCAATCCGGATTGCTTTTGGAGAATTTGTTCAATAATGCATTAATTTTATCAAAGATTTTCTCCAATACTTGACCTCCAGCTGCAGCATCTACTACAATTTTTGTTTGGGGATGGAGCCCTTCTATGAAAGTGTGAACTAACACTTCATTTGTCTGATTGTGATGAGACAGTCTCTGAGTAGCCCCTTGAACCTTTCCCAAGCTAAGTATAAAGATTTTCCTGCTTTCTTTTTTAAGGCGACTATCTCACTTCTGATCTTTGTAGTATTGCCTGAAGGGAAGAACCTTGCCAGAAATTTTCTTGCCAAATCATTCCATGATGTAGTGGAATTAGCTGGTTCTTCCTTTAGCCATCGCTTAGCTTCGCCCAACAAAGAGAATTAAAAAATTGTGAGCCTCACATAATCTGGAGTTACCCCGTTAGTAATATAAGTATCACTAATCTCCAAGAAGTTCAGAATATGTTGCTCTGGATCCTCGTGTGGAAGACCCATAAACTACCCGTTTGCATGAAGTAGTTGGATCATGCTCTGTTTCAGCTCAAAGTGCCCAGTGATTCTGGGCTTCACTATGCTGGAGGTAATATTAGCAATACTGGGCATTGCTACCTCCTGAATAGCCATATATTGCTCATTTGCCATGTTCCCAGGAAATTGAACAAGTGCCTGAATATTATTCATGTCCCTTGCTACCCTCAACCTCCTGTGAAATGTTCTCTCAGGTTTATGGTCAAATCCTTGAAGTCGATCCTGGCTTCTGACACTTCGCATTCAATCAAAGTTCCTGATATCCGAGAAACAATCAAGTAACGTTAGACTTGACGAAATAAATAATTAAATCCAAAACTAGAAAGTATTTAATATTCAAGTCCCCAGCAACGGCGCCAAAAACTTCTTGCTCCCAAACACACACATAAGTATACGTGGTCGACACGTAATATAATGATAAGTTGAGTGTCGAACCCATAGAGACTTGTATAAACTACTCACTAAATTACTAAAATTGTTATTCAATCCAACTAAAATCGAAGTCCAATAATATGATTATATTATACTATGATTCTAAATAATAACTAAATTATCAAGTAACGAGTTGATTGTTGTGTATTCAGTAGAGACAAGTATTCCAGGGTTGTGATCGATTCACCAATCCTATTGTGTTCTAGTTAACTCTCCCTCTCATACAATTCACTCATGGTTGCTAATTAATCGATAATTGCTTTCATAACCTTTTCCCGAAGTACTACTCGCCTATTCAAAATAGATCAACGTCTATATTCCTATGGAATTAATCTATTAGAACGCATTAAGATTACGATATTTAATTAAGCACGGTGACTAAGTATATTCCTATCCTAACCCCCAAATCCGCTCCCCTCAAGGGTTAAGATCGCGATCTCTTCAATTCTTCTCTAATCTATACACGGCTTTCCCAAGCATAGCATAGATAGTAAATAGAACCTAACTGATGGCCAGACAATTAAGCAATTAAACATAGAATTGAAGAAACAACCATATACTGGTGAATTATAATCAAGGTCAAGGAAATATCAAACAACAATATTCATGGCTAAATCACAACCCCAGAACAATGGGTGTTTAGCCACTCGTGATGTAATCAAACAATTGCATAAGTGTTGAATCAATTAGAAATACTAGAAAAAGATGAAGAAAACAAAGAAGTCTCCGCTTCCTAACGATCTCGTGTGTGTTTTTCCTCCAAAGTGGCGTCCACCCCCTCAAAAATAGGTTTAGTCTTGCTTTTATACATGTTGGGTAGGTCTAGGGCCGAATAAACCATGTCCCGGGTAAAATAGGACAAAATCACGTCACCGGCGCCCTGGGTAGTGCCAGGCGCCCACCAGGGCACTGCCTCAAACTTTCATTCTGTCTCCAGCGCCACAGGTGGCGCCAGGCGCTGTCTATGGTGCCCAAATGCTCAATTCATCCGGTTTTATTGGTTTTGGCTCAAATCTTGCACGTTTCACCCTCAATTGCTCCTGAATCATTCCTACACATAAAACACTTCAAATTAATATAAATCATAGTACTTAGCATCCCAACTTCACGAAACAAAATTAAAATGTGAGGCGATATATATAGAAATATATATGCTTTAAGCTAAACATCACTCTTCTATCTTTCTTTCTGCTCTTTTCTCTTTTCTTATTCTTAATTAATATTTTTGTATTTGAAAGTTTCTTCTTCCTTTTTCTTGGCAAGAGGTTTAAACAAATGTTTAAATTGACTGTAATGGATGTGAAAGAACATTCAACAATGTCCCTAACAATATCAAAAGGTTTGTACAATTGTTATTCTTCTTCAAAACATAAACTTTCCTCTTCAAACAGTCTAGCGCCCTTCTAAATTCTTTTTCTGCATTTTCTCTGTAATTTTCAAGAGTGTTCAAATACAACTTCAAATAATTTGGCGTCTTTCCCGTCCTCTATTTAATAAAGTTTTTACACATTCCAATCTAGTTAAGTTTGAATGTCAAAAGTCGATTGATTTTAATATGTTATTACTTTATCTTCATGTTCCAGTGCGATCAATATTCATGAAAACTGAATTTTTTAGATTATTTTTTTTAAAATTTCAAGGTCTTAAACTGACTATGTTAATATGCAGTGATTGAAACTTAGAATGGGTCAAACTCTGTTTACTTGCAAAGGTAAAGCAGAATGCTACGATTTGAACCTCACAGAACAATGTAGAATTCTTTTATTCTACTCGATTTCAGCTTATAGCTTGAGGATGAAGAAAGTTAACAATTAATTGTAATTTTTTTTGGATGCAGAAGAAAGTACAAATCGAGGAGATGCAAATCAATATGAGTAGTGAAGGATGAGGTATTTTAGCCCCCACTGTTCCTCTGGAAAACATGTTTTAGGGCTATTTCCTAACCTATTGAAAAATTTTATTTGTTTCGGGCAAGTTCTCTTTATTGATAAGATGTCTATACAATAGGTGTGACGACTTCGGCCAGTCGTCTCATGAGTTACCGCTTTGTTTTCCCCATTTCTGCTTCTTTATGCTTCGTTATCCGTGCTTTATGATATTGGGTTGGTCAAATCGAGTTCAGAGTGGTTTTGTTAAGGTTTGAGACACTTAGTCTCTTTTAAGGGAGTTTGAGTTGGAAAAGTCAACCGGATGTTGACTTATGTGGTAGAGGACTCGGATGCGAGTTCTGATGGTTCAATTAGCTTCGGGAGGTGATTTATGGCATAGGAGTATGATCGGAATGTGTGATGACCCGGCCAGTCGTCTCATGAGTTACCTCTCTGTTTTCCCCTATTTCAGCTTCTTTACGCTTCGTTATCCGTGTTTTATATGATCGGGTTGATTAGTTCGAGTTCGGAGAGGATTTGGTAAGAAATGAGACACTTAGTCTCTTTTAAGAAGGCTTAAGTTGGAAAAGTCAACTGGATATTGACTTATGTGTTAGAAGGCTCGGAAGTGAGTTCTGATGGTTCGGTTAGCTTTGGGAGGTAATTTGTGACTTAGGAGCGCGATCGGAATGGGCTTTGGAGTTGTAGAGAAGATTTAGGCTTAAATTGGCGAAGTTGATATTTTGGCGGTTCCGGTTGATAGGCGAGATTTTGATATAGGGGTCGGAATGGAATTCCGAGAGTGACAGTAGCTCCGTTGTGTCATTTGGGATGTGTGTGCAAAATATTAGGTCATTCGGACGAGATTTGATAGACATTTTGATCGAAAGCATAATTTAAGAGTTTTTGGAGTTCTTGGGCTTGAATCCCCTGTTAAATTAGTGATTTAATGTTGTTGTGAGCGTCCCGAGGTTTCGAACAAGTTTGAACAATGTCATGGGATGTGTTGGTGCAATTGGTTTGGAATTCCAAGAGTTCCGGGTAGGTTCCGGGATGTTTTAGGCCAAAAATCATAGTTGTAGCAGGTCCAGAAGGGTTGCAGGCCTCGAAACCCACCCGCGCGGACCGCACAAAAGGAAGTGCGGTTGCGGTATGTGATGTGCGGACTGCACAAAATGAAGTGCGGCCGCGGTGGTTTTGTGCGGGCCACGGTGGTTTTGTGCGGCCGCGGTGCTTTTGCGCGGACCGAGGTGGTTCTGTGCGGACCGCGGAGGCTGAGATCTGAGGGGTACTCTATAAATACGAGGTTTTGGGTTTTATTTAATATTTTGACCTAAAGAACTTGGATTTTGGCGATTTTTTGAAGGTTTTTCAAGAAATTCATCGGGGTAAGTGATTCTAACTCAAATTTGGTTAGAGTACATGAATCTATCATTGAATTCATCATTTAATTCATGATTTGGGATGGAATTTGGGAAGAAAATTGTGAAACCTTTCAAAATATAAAATGATGATTTGAAGGACCAAATGGTATCGGAATTGGATAATTTTGGTATGGTTAGACTCGTGAGGGTATGAGGATCCTGAAAATGTAAATTTTACCTGATTCTAAGACGTGGGCCCGGGGCTTGGGTTTTGCTAATTTCGGGATTTTTGATATTTTTCGAATGTTTTCGCTTGGGCTTTGTTCCCTTAGCATATTGTGACTTATTCGTTCTGATTTTGGATAGATTCGACGCGCGTGGAGGCCAATTCGAGGGGCAAATGCGTCGCGAGCTAGAGAATTAGCCTGTTCGAGGTGAGTAATGATTGTAAATGATGTCCTGAGGGTTCGAAACCCCGAATTTCATATCGTAGTGCTATATTGAGGTGAGACACGTGCTGGATGATGAGCGTGTGGTCTTTTACTGCTGGGGAATTGTGACTTGGTCCGTCCTGATTGATGATTTTACCGTGTATTTGACCGAAATTTATTTGTTATCATCATGATTTGAGCTGATTGCCATATTTGGGTTTCGTGCCAACTATTTGAACCCTTTGGGGATTTTTATCACTATTTCCTCACTGCTTTGACTTATTATTTGAACTCAATCCTATTGACGTCTACTGTTTTACAAACTCAGTCACTTTTACTCAGATTTGAAACTTATATGATATTTCTAAATAATGTTTTGGGCTGAGAACTACTGTATTACTAATACCCGAGGGCTTGTGATGATTTTCGAACTGAGTGAGGCTGAGGGCCATATATGAGGATATGTTGAGTGATGTGAGGCTGAGTGCCGAGTGATGATGTCATGAGGTGGCTTGATATAGCTCTTGGGCCGTAAGGGGCCCCTCCGGAGTCTGCATACCCACAGTGAGCGCGGGTACCCATTATGATCTGAGAGTGAGCCCGATGGGCTGATACTGTTCTGAGTGGTTGATATTGAGCCCGAGGGGCTGATACTTTTCTGAGTGATTGATACTGGGCCTGAGGGGCTGATACTGTACTGAGAGTGAGCTCGAGGGGCTGACACTGTTCTGAGCGATTGATACTGTACCCGATGGGCGGATTTCTACTTGTTATTTACCTGTTAAATTACCGATTTTACTTGTTTTAAAAAGGGATATCATTTGATTTCTTCATTGATTTACTGTTTTAAGGGATTTTACTGCTTGATATGGAATTGCTTAGTGCCTTTACATGTTTTCATACTTTCAGCCATTATTTATAATTATTACTCACTGAGTCGGAGTACTCACATTACTCCCTGCACCATGTGTGCAGATTCAGGCGTCATAGAGTCCGCTCCTGAGTGTTGATCCTCCCAGTCTAGGCAGTGATTTCGGAGACTACGAGGTAGTTATTGACGTCCGCAGCCCCCGTGTCTCCCTTATCTTATCATTTTCATGTTTTTAGAACTATTGTATTGGATTTAGTGTACAGTAGACTTGTATCCG